AGGGAGGGAGGGAGGGAGGGAGGGAGGGAAAGAGGGAAAGAGAGAGAGGGAGACAGAAAGAAAGACAGAAAGAAAGACGAAAGAAAGAAAGGAAAGAAAGAAAGAGAAAAGAAAGAAAAAGCAAGCAAGCAAGAAAAAGCAAGAAAGAAAGAAAAAGAAAGAAAGAAAGAGAAAGAAAGAAGAAAGATTCATTCTCAGGCCTACCTTGTTTGATTGTAGGTCAGAAGACCCCATTCCAGAGAGCCCTGCCCCATGTCCACTCTCGGAAGCAAGAAATGCACGCTCAGAGGGACCAAGAAGAAATCCAGACAGACAGGCCTTGCTGGATGTCCCCACTCGGTCTATTCGCATTAGATCATTGCCTTTGTCCAATCATATTGCCACACAGCTGTCCATATGTCCTTGAAACTCAGCATAAAAATGGACAATTTTCCCCGTATCTCTGGGTCCTCATTCCGAAGGCTCCCGTGTACGCACTAATAAAGGTTTACCCCTTTTCTCCTATTCCCCTGCCTCTTGTTGGTGATTTCTGGGCAAGCTTCAGAGGGCAGTGGGGAAGGTTTCCCCTGGCCCCTGCAGGCCCCTCCTTGCCGAAGGCCCAGGGTGGAGCAGTGATGCAGGCGTGACCGCACTGGCCCAGGAGTCAGGAGCCCCGAGGTCTGCCCCGTCACTACCCACCTGCTGGCCAAACAAAGCCGGCCTCTGAGTGGCCATTCTTTTGGGAAAGAAAGAAGACTGGAGGGCCCCATTAAGGTCTTCCAAGGCTGTTCCCTTCCTGCCTGTCTTCCCTTGCCCCAGCCCATATCCCCTTCCCTTTCTTGACCCCCTCTGGGGAACCAGGACCTGTCCCCCAGAGACAGCCTCACCTGGAGTTTAAACTTTTTGAAAACCGTGGGAGGCTGAATCAGGGAGGCAGCCAGGAGCAGAGGGAACCCTGGGAAGGGAGGCGGGCCCTGGTGCTGCCCGGTAGCCCTGAGCCCAGTTTTCCCATCTGTACGATGGAGGGAGACAGGGTGCCGTCCTTCCCTTTGCCTGTCACCCTCTGCGCCTCTGGCACTGTGGAATTGAAGGGGGTGGGAGGTGGGCCTGGGATGATGTGCCCTGCGGGGAGGGGAGGCTGCTGCAGGGGGCTGACAGCAGAAGGTCCAGGGTGGAGCAGCGATGATCCCTTGATCGCACCGGCCCAGGAGACCGAGCTGTATCCCATTACCCACCTGCTCTCTCAGCACCTCGGATTCTGCGCCCGTGGAAGGGGATGAGTCCCAGCCCCAGGTCCCTGGCTCCAGAGAACTCTCGGGCTCCCTGCTTGCCAGGATTCGGCTCTGCCTGGAGGAAGGAAGTAGGATGGGGGTGGGAGTTGGAGGTGGGTGCTTGAAGATAGGGGTCTCAGAGACCTCAGGGGCCACGGGGATGTGTCAGCAGGGGAGGTTGAAAGGAGCCATTGTAGGAAGCAGGAAGGGGGCCCTCTGGAGTGGGCTAATTATAGATCCTGGCTCATCCACACAAAGCCAGAGACCTCTGAATGGCCATTCTTTTGGGGAAAGAAGGAAGACTGGAGGGCCCGATTAAGGTCTTTCACACTGTGGCTTTGGAAGGTGGCTAGGAAGTTCACCTTCCAAGGCTGCTCCCTTTCTGCCTCCCTCCCCTTGCCCCAGTCCACATCCCCTACCCTTTCTTGACCTCCTCTAGGGAGCCAGGCCCTGCCCCCCAGAGACAGCCTCACCTGGAGTTTAAACTTTTTGAAAACCGTAGGAGGCTGAATCAGGGAGACAGCCAGGAGTAGAGGGAACCTTGGGAGGAGAGGAAGGCTCGATTTCTCTGTGTATAAAATGGGCATGCCATCTAGCCCTGACTGGCAGAAATTCATTGAAGTTTCCAGATTTCTACATAGAACTGAGGCCAGACCCAGAGACGCCTGAGCATCAGGGGTTCCTGCCTCCTGCCCTCCAATACTGCTGCCCTTCCTCCTCGCCACCTGCTTGCCCGCTGAGGCACCAGGATGCATCTCCGAGTCCAAGTTTGACTCAAAAGCCCAAAATGGCCTTTGCTTATCACGGACGGAATCCAGATGAAATAGCCAAAGGAACTCTTTCTTCCTCCTTTCTGCATAAGTAGAAGCTGGGTTAGATTTCTCCATCCATCCATCCATCCATCCATCCATCCATCCGCCCACCCACCATGCTTTAACCATTTCCCAGGCACCTACCCCTTGCCCAGCCTGGGCACACAAACATGATTCCTGAAACAACATTAAGGGCAACGAAGGATGACCTGTTTGGGCAAGTCACCATTTGAGACGGGAGACGAAAGTATAAAATGGGGTGGAGGAGGGAGTCTCCAGCCCCGGTTGCGGGGGAAGAGGCTTTTAGCCAGTCGGCAGGATGAGCAGGGCTGCGTGGGGAGGAGCTGGGCAGTCTGGGCGGAGGAAATCAAACCAGCAAGGGTACGGAGGTGAGAAAGGGCAGACCTGGCCCGGGACAAAAGGGAACCTTCCTCAGGACATTATGTTAAGTGAACTAAGCCACTTGTGAAAAGATAAATACTATAGGATTCCAATTCTGTGAAGCACCGAGAGTAGTCAAATTCACAGAGACTGGAAAGTAGAATGGTGGTTGCCAAGAGCTGGGGGAAGGTGGAAGAGGAAGTTGTTGTTTAATTGGTGTAGAGTTTCAGTTTTGCAAGATGAAAAGCATTCTGGAGATTGTTTGCACAACAATGTAAATGTATTTAACACCACGGAGCTGCACATTTCAGAGTGGTTTGGATGGTAAATTTTATGTTATGTGTATTTGACTACAATTTTTTAAAAAAAGTAACCATGCACACACACCAAAAAAAGGTAAGCCTTCCCCGGAGAGAATGGGGGAGGGGAGGCAAGAAATAGGAGGGGGTGGGGACATTAGGTGGTGGAGGATCCTAAAACCTTGCGAAGGCCAACAGAGCCACCTCGGATTCGTAGAAAGTTGGAGGGAGGGAAAGTGGGGAGGAAGAGGGGTGTGACTGAAGTATTGAAGGCACTCGGGATACACAGACCAGGAAGACATGATTCTGAGCATAGACCCTGCTTGCGGGGGATGGGGCTGGGATGCGTGCATCAAGGCTGGCCCTAGGGCAGAAGCAACTGAACTCCTATCTTGTATCATCTCTGTGGGTTGCTTCAAATATGTCAGGGAAGAGAGCTGCTTTTACTGAGTCACTAAGCTCCAAGACCTCAGACCTGGCAGAAGCAAACCACCGCCTCTAGACCCAAACCGGTTGGCCATAACCAGCCGCTGAGGCAAAGGTTTCCAGGTAGCCTTTGCCACCTACCCTCTCCTCAAAATGGCCATACTGTGGTCTTTCCTAACATGAATTACAGTGTTGCAGACTATGAAAGCTGGGAGGTGACTTACCCGCCCCACTATCCTAATCACACAGACGGGCACACTGACACCCAAACCGAAGGGATTTGCTGAGTTCACTTACAAGGCAGGCGGCTAGAACTCTTTGCCTCAGTGTCTCCTTGGGGGAGCTGAAGAAACTGAATTTTAATCATTGCAGAGGAAGCCTGCTATTTACATTGGGACCTGGAGCTGGGCTGGCTAATACCACTTTTAGACCTGGTATCTTTTACTTTACGAAAATGATGCGTTCCATTCGATGTAACTTCAAGTGAGCTTTTTTGAACGAAACCTATGCTGTCTATAAATGCTCTCTGTAGACTCAGAACTGTACTACAGTTTTAGGGTACAGAATTCCCTAGTTCCCTAATATAATGCATTTAATCTTTGAGCCAGTCCCAGGACATGTTTACTAGGGGAAAGTGTGGATAGAATTCTGAGGCTCAACTCTCAACACTTACTCACTAACCACGTGATCTTGGGTGACTTTCCTGACGTTCTCTCAGTCTTGGATTCTTCATCTGTAATAATTATATCTACTCACAGAGCCATGTAGAGTGCCTGATATCCAGTGGCTGCTCAACAAAGAGTGCCATTAATAATGAGGCGGATGATGATGACACTGGATAATGATGATGGTGATAGAGGTAGTGACGGTGATGCTGGTGATGCTGCTGCTGCTGGTGGTGGTGGTAGTGGTGATGGTCATGGTGGTGATGGCGACTGTGATGATGGTGGTGGTGATGATGGTGGTGATGACTGTGATGGTGGTGGTGACTGTGGTGCTGGTGGTGACAGTGGTAGTGACTGTGGTGGTGACTGTGGTGATGGTGATGACAGTGATGGTGGTGGCGACTGTGGTGACAGTGATGATGGTGGTGGTGGTGGTGACTGTGGTGGTGGTGATGATGGTGGTGGTGGTGATGGTGGTGACTGTGGTGATGACGGTGATGGTGGTGATGATGGTGATGGTGATGACGGGGATGCTGGTGGTGACTGGTGGTGGTGGTGATGACGGGGATGCTGGTGGTGACTGGTGGTGGTGGTGATGACGGTGATGGTGGTGGTGACTGTGGTGGTGGTGATGACGGTGATGGTGGTGGTGACTGTGGTGGTGGTG